GTGTCACATATAACAAAGGAAAGCTGTATGCTGTTTGTTGGCATACAGATAGTGTGTTAGTATTAGATCTTAAAGGTACAGTACAGACAGAAATTCCACTGGATACAGCTTTTCCATCTGGTATTGCTGTAAGTGCAGACTCTCAATATGTATATGTAAGTGACTGTCTTAATGGTAGTATTGTACGCTTCACAAACAATGGAAGTGTATCAAGTACTTACAAAGACGAGAAAATCAAATCACCTTCTGAGATACTCCGTCTAGAGGATGGATCACTTCTTGTCTGTTGCTATTACAGCAATACAGTATACAGAATTTCTGAAGATTTCAAGACAGAATTTAGTGTTCTAGATAATATAGCATCACCGAAAAGTATATGTATAGATTATAAAGATGATAAAATGTACATTGGTTGTTTGGTGAGTGACACATTGAAAGTGTGTGAAGTGGTTTATCAGGAATAAGAAAGAAATGATAAAGATGATAACCAGATGATAACGTTGTATTTGATGATAACGTGGTTATTGCTGATCTTACGATAGTTATACAATTTTAACTTTTTGTCAGAAATACATGTAGATGAAGAAATGTTAAATATGAGGCTATGATAGTTAAAGCAATATTAGTTAGAAAAGATATTTTATATTAGATAATTAAAAATAGCAAAATAAAAAAAATATATATATACTTATTATAATTGGAAGTGGTGGTAAGTAAATAACAATAGCAAAAAAAGTACTTGAACATAATTTCACAATATTATGCACAAGTTTGTTCAATAAAAATATTTTTTGTAAGTTGATCTTTACTTTCGAATTCGCTTTGCTCTTCAAATTTGACAAATATTGAAACAAATACCGTTATCTTAAGAAATATAACCTGCAAATAGAGATAAAAGAAAAAAAATCATATTATAGATATTTGAACTATCAAATCGCATCATGTAGACTTATGTTTATATGTACAATGCTGATGATGTAAACAAAAAATATATTTTTTTGACAATATATAAAAAACAACATCTTATTTATTCCAATCATTCATTAACTTCTCTACGCACTCGTGCACGCACATAAACGAACTCACATGCACTTACAATTGTATGATTTAATATGATTTATTAACAAAGTGCGCTTTTCTGTTAAAGGCCCATTATTCCCCAGAAATGCTTTTATTTTTATTTCTCAAAAGATTTTTTATAATTGGTATTATGCTATAGTTTCAAAAAAAGTTACTCACTGGCTAATTACTGTACCTGAAATATATTTGTTTCTCTTACTTTCCGTATATTAGTACAGATAAAAAGATTAAGTAATTTGTATGAGGGTCAAAATATTACTTTGTTTACATTTTGCTACTTTCATGAAAATAATTTTACATTTAGCACTACTTTCTTTAGGTAATAAGAAACTTTTATGCTTTAAAACCATTGTTTAAACATTTTACAACTCATGTTTGCCCTTTCTAAAGAAGATAAATACATATTTGTTTCTGAGGCATAATGTGCCTTTAAATGACTTAATTAATTGTTTTTCTTTTTCAAGATTTATAATTAATATGTTAGTTAAGAATTGCTTGTAAATGGGAGATAATTTATCATAAATCATATTGAAATGCAATGTATAATAGATATTCACGAAATATATCGATATTTTACTTGGTATATCCTTACAAAATGCCCTTTGTAAGCAACAACTGTATCTATTTTAGATTAGCTTTGCTCTTTAAATTTGATGAATGTTGTAATATTGAAGTATCTTAGTCGAGAAAATGGAAAAAAAATTCTACACTTAAGATTTTTTGATCTTACAGATCCAATAACAAAGACTTAAGCTTCTGCATACAAAGCTAAAAATACATATTTTTTTTGGTTAAAGCTTAAAAAAACAACATCTTATTAATTCACATTCCGACTCACATTTACACACGTGCACGCGCGCGCACAGGCACATTTGTAAATAACCGTAATAATGACCGTCAGTAATACACCGTTAAAAATTATTGAAACAATGAATTATATGTTATTTTCCCAATCATTTGGGTTCCACAGTCCACATTTGTGGACCCGAAAATTTTTATGTATTCCTTTTACTCTGTTTAAGTAAATGATTATTTGTAAATGGGAGATAAACCAAACTGAAGTATAATAGTTGTATTCTCCCCTTTTGAATGACAGATAACAATAGTCTTTACAAAATACCCTTTGTTAAAAAATCTTTGAATGTATTGACAATTAATTTTTATTGTTTATGTAGACTTTAGCTAAAACCGGTCTAAAATATGTCAAGGCATTTAATTTCAAATCAATAATAAATGAAAACAACCTAGAACTGTCTTGACTGGTGTCACACATTTTGGATTCTAACAATACATGTATATAAGTTTATAGAGTTAAAGATAAAATTGTGGTTGTTTTGTCTCTTTCTTAAAGATATACTATGCTCATCTTTGTGTAAAATAATTTTATCGCATAAATTTATTGAAATCTATGAAATTCTTACTGAATATGTCTAATTTGAACAAAGGAATGTACAAACTATGTATGGGAACCTGCATCCCCTATTAAAGCTCAGATAAAGTTGGTCCTTTCTTAAAAAAACGGACACTTTATATTTATGTTGTGGCCTCCTTTAAAACATAACATTTCTACTTTGTGTGAAGTAAAAACATGTTAATGTTATATTTACAAAGAGACAGTTTAGCAATTTTCAATATTTTCAAGTATCAAATTTGAGCATAATTATTATATCTTTAAACTTCAAAGATTTTATTTTGTTCATTTTTTTATTGTTCGTTCTTTGTTTTCATTATAATGATATAAAACGTAAGTATTAGTACTCTGGATTACAAAAATAAAAAATAAAAATGTATTTATAGCAAGTTCTATAATTTGTGTTATTTTATTTCCAATTCAATGCATTTACATATTCTATCTAAATGAAACTGCAATAGTTCTGCACTTTCCTAAGTAGAATTAGAAATCACTATACGAGTTTTTATATAATGTCAGAAGGACTCGTAGTTCTTATAGGAAATGACCTCAAACCAAAGTCATGGTCTTTTGACAATCATTGTTTAATTATAACACATATCTTGACTTTGTTATCTTGAATTCCAACAGCTGGAGCTATATCCTAAAATTTTTGTGTAATAGTTCTGTAATATATCATGTTTAAATATCTTGATCTTGGAGCCTTATTTGATTTGTAAACAACACCACGTCTCTGGTTTTATGAATCAATCGATGATTTATCTCAATCTTAAAAAGTTTTTGTTTAACACCATGACCTTGATAATGCTTGGATCATATCTCTTGTTGACTGACGTTATTGCGTAAAAATCTGTCTTTGATAATTGCTACTAATATTAAGTACTAGGTCTATTAACAGCTGCAAAAGTTATTGAGCACAACGTAAACACAACTTATTGAGCACAACTTACTGAACAACGTAAGCACTATTTATTGAACAACGTAAGCATATGTTGTTCGATAAGTTGTGCTTATGTTGTTCAATCAGCTGTGCTTACGTTATTCAATAAGTTATGCTTATGTTGCTCACTTATTGAATAACGTAAGCACAACTGATTGAATATCGTAAGCACAGCTGAGCGAATAACGTAAGCATAACTTATTGAACAACGTAAGCACAACTTTTAATAAAACCTAAGCAATACTTATTGAACAGCGTAAGCACAACTTACTGAACAACGTTATATACGTTACTATACGTTATTGTACAAAGCGAACATAGTCCTGCATTTGGCTTCTTATATTTAAAAAAAATACCAGACAAATTATTTAAACAATATCTTTATTTGGGTTTATACAACAATATAAATAGTTAATACGCTTAAGATGACAGTTACGTCAGAAATGACGACAATATACGTGTGATGATTTGATTAACAAATATTGCCGAAAGAGTTAGAACTTGTCCGCTAATGTGTTACACCAAAGCCAATGAGGAAACCTTCTTCATCGTGAGAACAACTTCTTTACTTGGACCTGGAGCTAAAATAAATACGAAATTTCGTTAAGCTGGCTGCAAACAATGTTCAATGCTTTTTTACACGAAGGAAGTTAAACTATAGAACATTTGTTGTGTCTACAAGATAATGACCTTTAGATTTTAAAAGTTACCATATAAGAAGTCAATGTATCAATTGATAATTCTGTTCTGTTCAAAACTAATTGGTTGGCATTGAGGTAATGTTGGGGGCGATTTATAATTATGATGAAAAAGAAGAAAGACTACAAGGAGCGTTTTAGTTCCTCAACCTACTCTACGCTATTGATAACGTTTTGTAAGTAATAGGCACTCAAACTAAAAGCGTTCTAGAAAAACAAACTAGAGAAATGGAGCACTGGAGTGCACGGATTTTAATGACAATAAAATTTCTAAGTATAGCTATGTACACATTTTACAATTCTGGAAAATGCATGTTGGTAATTTCTATTATATATCGGATGTCATAAAAAAGTTTGAATAATATACCCAGCAAGATATTTGAAACGCCAGGATCTAACATCACAGTCGATCTTGTTTCCTCTATCATAAATGTCACCTCAATGTTGTCCCGATCGAAGTCGTCTGCAATAAAATGGTTTGTTAAATGTAAGTCAAGTATTTTCTCTCACTGGTAAGAGCCTTGTCAACAAGGTATCTCAAACGCGTTTATGACAATTTAAATAGCAAGTTTCCCATATATTGGGCTGCTTTTTCGTTATGATATTGAGTCAGTTCATTTCTGTTTCGACTAAAAGATTATATGATCTAAATATAGCTACAATCTCATAGTCGCGTAGTTGTTGCACGCCTTACACGTGCGTCTTTTTCCCCGCGCTTCAACGAAACAGGCACAAATTGTACATGTATATGGTCGTACGTTCTGTGATTGTATACATTGCTTGCAATGTATACAGAGTTATAGCTGTATTTCAGATTTAGTACACCTAACGTGTTTTGCTGAACAACATCCACCTTTGGATGAAACCTCGATAAAAGTAGATCCTCATTTTGCAGGATTGTCACATTAAGATCACTTTTTATTAATATACTGTTTGCATAGTGGTCAATAAGCTTTGAAAGTTAAAAACTATGCACTTTCAGTTCAAATAAACATTTTCTAAACATGAAAGCAAAAAATATTGAAAATTTCTATTTCATTCATAAAAGCATTGTGTAAACCTACGCTTCAAACTTCGTATCCACGCATGCGCGTGCATGAATGAATGAATTACGACAGACTCTGTATAAAAATATGTCCAACACCCAAAATTAATATTACATCAAACAAATAAACCTTATTTACTTTTAAATATAGACTTGCATACTTTTTCTGTTTCAAACTGTTTTAGAAAACGAGCATATACAGATATATATGTCTTATTTAGTGTTATGTAACATTGTAAGCGTCTGTATGAATGGATTAAAGTTTCAGTTCTGACGTATTGTCATATAATTGCATATAATAGAACCCTATCAACGTGGTGGCATCGGAGGAGTATGCAATTATTTGTTTCACACCTGCAGTGTGAAGTATTTCTGCCACTTTAGTGAAATATATCGTCCAAAAGCCATTTTCGGGAAGGGGAAGATTCGTACTCAATATTATTCGAACTAAGGATTTGTACTCGATATTATTCGAATTTAGCCTTCGTAATCGGTATTATTCGAACTGACAATCATGGCAGATATGTTTAGACCCCCTGGACATTTAGATGTTGAAAATGGTAACATATCACATAACTTTATCAAATGGAAGCGCCAATGGAAATTTACTTTACCAGTGTTGACTGCCAGTAGAAATGCTGAGAAAGATGAAAAGATACAAGTAAATATCCTATTACACTGTGCTGGACCTAAAGTTATCAATTAACATGGGCAAATGCAGAACATAAACTGAAAGTGAAAAAAATTATTTGACAAAATAGAAAGCTATTGCAATCCTAGAAAAAATGAAGTGCTAGAATCACACAGATTTTGGGTAACCAATCCAGATAATTATTCATCATTTGACAGTTTTCTTACAGAGTTTTGAAAGCATGTTGAGTCCAGAAATATATTTTGAAATATGTTATTTACAATCAAATCATTCAGTCAGGCTGAGCCACCCTTTACAATTTTTACATAACTCCTTAGACTATTGATATATATATATATATACATGTATATATAAGGTAAAATTATTAGCCATATATGAGCTTATGATTGAATGGGCAGTTAAATTAAAGCCATTAGTTAAAAAAAGGGTTGACCTGGGATAACCAAAGTGAAGAGTGAAATATGACACTCAACACAGGTACATTCTAATTATTTAGATTGATGGTTATGATCAGATTTAGCACAAATAGTAATTTAATTTCCCCTGATACCACAAATATGAATTTATTAAGAGTCCTGAAGATCTTTTTATGATGAAATATTAACTGAAAAACCAGGTTTATCTGAATAATTATAAAATTCCTTGCCACAATGATAACTAGAAGGTACATAAAGCCAGTCAAAAAATATTTCTATCCATATTCATCATTCCTGGACCTCCATCCATTTGATGAATTTCTCCAACTGGTAAATTTTTCATTTTATTATGTTTTGTTTGTTAATATAAAAGATTTTTTATGTTTATATACAGCTAGAATAGTCTGTAATGGCTAAGATAGACAGATAAGAACAAACTTTTTAGTAAACATGAGTTACATCCCTTCAAATAGAGATAAAGATGAAACCCATAAGAAATTGCCATGTCTGACAGACAGCAAAATTATAAAATTCTGCAGGCTCAGTTTACTTAGGCCCATTAAGAGGTAGTGGTAATAACTGTGGGTCAAAAATGAAATGATATCATTTTCAAGGGATGTTTCTAAAATGATTTACTTTAAATAATGGGTCATTATCAATGAATGTTTCTTTGACTTCTATGCCTATGTGTAATAGATTATTGACATTGCCAGCTAGATAGCTCAGCTGAGTGAGTCAGTACAGCCCACATACATGTATAATATTCTGATTCAGGTTTGATTCCGGTCAAACTGCACATTTTTCTCACCCTGTGATATTTTCACCCTGTTACTTTTAGGGTCCAATATATGTTTATGATGGTACATAACTGAGTCATAAGTCAATTCACTTTGTTACTTAAGTGTGCCAATGAAAAAGGAAAAATTTCAATATGCTGTGGATTATGTCAATGCAAAGAACTATGAGACTGAAAATATTTAAGCTGTAGAGCTGCTGTATGGTATTCCAAGGGTTCTGGGTTTTTTGGTAGTGCTGAAGAATGGTATTCTGAGTGTCTCTGGTTTGAGTTTCGCAGGCTGCATTTCATTTTCTCACTCTTTGATATTGATAAATATTTTCAGCTCATTATTGGCTGGACTGCATATATTAATGATTTATTTGTATTAAATCAATATTGTTAAATATTTAGTTATTGTCTATTATTATATATGCATGTGACTTTATTTTTGATAAGGCATTGTAACAGTACAACTTCTTAATTTGACCTTTTTTGTATTGGGGGAGAAGCCCTTAATTAACTCCTTACCAGTAAGTTTTATTGTACACGATGATGATAGCTTGAAAGGATTTAGCTAAAAAAGATACTACATGAATCTTTTTTTTTTCCTATTGGATTGTAAAATATTTATTGATTGTCAAAAAACTATATGGAGTTCTCCTCGGTGACATTAAACAGTCCCAGCTGGCCATACATGCAGGTAACCTTGCAGACCATGAGACAGGGTTGTCTGTACCAAGACAAATCCAATATCTAGACATGGTGGACAGGACAGACAGTGATGTTCAGATCCACCACTCAGAAAGGAAGTACTACACTCAAGGTCCTGGTCTTCAATTACTTCATTTTCTTACTTGGAGTAAAAGTGCCGGAAACAATAGTATGGTATCACAAAAAGCACAGACTGTGATAAAAGTCAAACCAAAAAAGATACTATAAACTGAATTCATAGATTATATAAAAGAAATTTATTAATTCTTTAATTTTATAGTTAACAAAAAAAAAAAGATACTGAGTATTAAATTTTGATATATAGCATATTTAAACACACATAAAATGCATTATATGCCATATAAATTTCAAACATGATTTACTAATCTTTGGATTTCTACACTCCTCTCCACCTAGCTCCAATGAGATCCACTTGGTTGACCATAACATGTACCATACCTCATATTGTTTGTTTACAGTTTGGAATGAAAAAATTTAAGTTCCATTTGGCCTACAGTGTTCAAACTTCAAAAATGATTGTCCATATTGGGTAGAAGACCCCTATTGATTTTGGGGTCACAAGGTAAAAGGTCAAGGTCACTATGACCTTAAAACTGAAAACAGTTTTCGGAGCATAGCTTAAGTTCCATTTGGCCCACAGTGTTCAAACTTCATAGGATGATTGTCCATATTGGGTAGAAGACCCCTATTGATTTTTGGGTTACAAGGTCAAAAGTCAAGGTCACTATGACCTTAAAACTGAAAACAGTTTCCAGAGCATAACTTAAGTTCCATTTGGCCCACAGTGTTCAAACTTCATAGGATGATTGTCCATATTGGGTAGAAGACCCCTATTGATTATGGGGTCACAAGGTCAAAGGTCAAGGTCACTATGACCTTAAAACTGAAAACAGTTTCCGGAGCATAACTTAAGTTCCATTTGGCCAACAGTGTTCAAACTTCATAGGATGATTGTCCATATTGGGTAGAAGACCCCTATTGATTTTGGGGTCACAAGGTAAAAGGTCAAGGTCACTATGACCTTAAAACTGAAAACAGTTTCCGGAGCATAACTTAAGTTCCATTTGGCCCACAGTGTTCAAACTTCATAGGATGATTGTCCATATTGGGTAGAAGACCCCTATTGATTTTGGGGTCACAAAGTCAAAGGTCAAGGTCACTATTACTTAGAAATTGAAAACAGTTTCCGGAGCATAACTTAAGTTCCATTTAGCCCACAATATTCAAACTTCATAGGATGATTGTCCATATTGGGTAGAAGACCCCTATTGATTTTGGGGTCACAAGGTCAAGGTCACTATAACCTTAAAACTGAAAACAGTTTTCGGAATATAACATAAGTATCATTTGGCCTACTGTGTTTAAACTTCACAGTATGATTGTCCATATTGGGTAGAAGACCCCTAATGATTTTGGGGTCACAAGGTCAAAGGTCATGGTCACTTTTACCTTAGAATTGAAAAAAACAGTTTCTGGGCCATAACTTAAAGTTCCATTTGGACCACAATATTGAAACTTCAAAGGATGATTGTTATTTGAAGGAGGTAATACTTTATTTTACTCCCATGTCTTACAAATGCTTCATCTTTACTAAAAAAATCACTTTCGGGCATATAATGCTCCGCCTAGCGGTGCACTTGTTTGAAAATGTGTTGGACTGCTGGTCTGATGCATGTAGATGCTGTGTTGGCATATAGCGATTCCCCTCTTTTGTGTGTGTGTGCATGCATGCGTGCATGTGTGTGTGTTTTATACATTATATAGTAAACATCTTTTGAAAACATCTTGTCCAATTTCAACCAAACTTGACAGGGTTGTTCCATGAGTAAAGGGCTTCCAAAGTTGTTCAAAGACTTAAATGAGGCCTAGAGCATAGATATTTTGCAAAAGGCATTGTCTGGTAGACATTCACAATATTTTCACATTATACCCTGGGTGTCAAATTAGCCCTGCACTTGGGTTCATAGATTTTCCTGATATGTATGTAGTTAAAACTTAAAATCTTCTCCTCTGAATTGACAAAGACTAGAGGTTAGATATTTGTCATGAAACATTTGGTAGTTAACCTCTACCAAGATTATTCACGTTACAGCCCAAGGGTCAAAATTAGCCTCACCCCTGGGGTCATATATTAAGGTTTTCCTTATATGTATATAGCAAAAACTTTTTTAAAAATCTTTTTATCAGAAGGTTGACGGCTTAGAGCTTAGATACTTGGTAAAGAATATCATAAGTACGTCCTTTACCAAAGTTGTTCAAATGTTGCCCCTAGTGAAATAGCACCAGGGTGTCATAGGTTTTCCTTAAATGTATAAACATGTATAGAAAAAAAACTTAAAAAATATTCTCCTCTGGATTGACAAAGACTAGATGTTTGATATTTGGCATGAAACCTTTACTTGTGTAATAAACCTCTATCACTATTGTTCAAATTATAGCCCTGGGGTCAAAATGGCTCTGCCAAGGAGTCTTTTTGGGTTTTCATTATATGGTATGTATATAGTAAAAAACTTTAAAAAAAATCTTGTCTGAAGGTACAAGGTTTACCAAGCACCACGGTGTCTTAGGATTTCCTTAAATGTATATACATGTATAGAAAAAAAACTTAAACAGTATTCCCCTCTGAATTGACAAAGACTAGAGGTAAGATATTTGGCATGAAGCATTGTGTAGTCAACCACTACCAAGATTGTTTTAATATTAGCCCTGGGATAAAATTTGCCTTGTGGGAGGGTTGGGGGGAGGAGAGTCGTTAATTTTTGTAATGTACTTGTATTAAAAATTTAAGAATGTACAAGGCTAGAGCTTAGGGCTTTGATGCCTAAATTTTGTCAAGTACAAATGCTTTTATTTTAAATCAATAATTGCACTGTGGAGTGCATTTTTTCCAGTGAATGCGTTTTGCATGAAAACAAAAATGTTCACCTAAGTCTTGCTGAATGATTCAATACCACATTTATGTAGACTACAAACCCACATGTTGGTCTTGTTTTTAAAGTATTAGATAAAAACACTGAAGACTCTATTTTACTATTTCAGCATTGTATACTGCAGATAATAAACCGGTCCTTGCAAACTGATTTCTGTATTGCTCTTCAATTTTGCAAACCATATAGTCTTGCCTGGAAAAACACAGCACTAGTCTGTATGAACAACACCTCTTTCTTGTCCAATTAGTAACTTGAGAAGAAATAAGCCTAGATTTGTGTTCGAAATTGATTGTAACCAGAAGATGACTTCTATTGAGTTCAGTAGATTAAAATCACATGGTCTTGATGTCAAGCAATGTATACCTCAGTGCTTGCAGTGCTTTGATTTTTAAATTCTTATCGCCTGTTCATATAATAAAATAATTATTGACTAGTGTGTCATTGAATATGATATTCACCGGCAGAAAGTCATATTGACCTCGGCTATCGCATCGGTCAATATGTCATCCGCCCATATTCAATGCCACACTAGTCAATAATTGTATAATATTTCAAGGACATCAGGTATATGATTTATGTTCTGACTATTGTTAAACTTCATGTTCATTCATAAATATAAGAAGATCTTAACCCGACATTTTAACTTGGTTACTATCATGGGGTTATTGTACAGCAGACGACATCTGATCACAACTCCTCACAGTGATTACCTCCCTTGGCAGAATTGTAATAATTGTACTGATAAGGGGAAATCACTGCGTAGGTTTTTAGGTTAAGGTTTATTTGAATAAGTCAGGGCCCATATGGGCATGTGACAACGAGATTGAAAGTGATACAGAACTTGAATATGTAAGAAAGATAACCCGTACAGGGTAACTTACGACGACAGGACTTCGAATATCATTATATTGCATCGAATATTATACATGTATGTATTTGATATGTTTTGGGTTTTTTTGCCTATAGAAACGAAATGAAAACGAGGCTAGATGGGTTACAGTGTTGATTCGATATTTTATACCCGGGAATGTGCATTATTTACATTTTATAAGGTGTGATATAGTTATATATCTAAATGCACCAGACATTTCTAAATCCGGCCTCTGCACTACCGGGTCAATTCGGTGCTTTGTATTTTGCAAAAACAGTCTCGATTAAGGAACGTTACAAAACTTTTTTTCTGCAAATAAAGTGCCTAAAAACCCTACACAGGAAGCACTCCCCTCAACTGTGTCAGACACTGTCTTTTAAGTCTTAATTATCGTTTCCTAATTGATTCAGTCAATGGCAATTTTCTTAAAATCAGATAAAAAAATTTAAATCATAAGTTTTATCAATTTTTTATTATCTTTATAGATTTATTTATTGATTTCATTTATTGATTTTTTTTATTATTTTTCTCCTTTTTTTGTTTCAATACCATATTCCCATTACATATAGAATATATGTGGGGAATGAAATAGTCTTATTGTTTTGGTTTTATTGTGTTGTCAAATTATACCTTGCACAATAAAAAAAAATAAAGAAAAGTAGAGGCAGTCGATGAAATTCATGCGTCAAAATGGAATACAGAAGAAATTCTTTTGCACCTGCATAAACGTATGAACAGTTTTAAAATAAGTATAGTGTTACGTGACAGTCAAAAGTTATTGATTTATAAACGTTAAAAACTTATGCATAACGTGGGTATAATGCTATGTATACGAACTGACAAATGTAGAAAACAGTCGTGAATTAAACTCTGTGATATAGCGCTTTCGTGTAAAATACTGTAAAAAAAGCTTTGCGATGTACTTAGAAACTGTGACCCACACTGTACACCATACATTTACCGCCATGATGACTAAACGTTCATGCACGCAAAAGTAGAAACTGCAACAATCGTTTCCAGGTAAATTTCTTAATTTGAACATGTGATTTCGGTCAGTCTATATTCTTTACAGTAAACCAAAGGTGATGCCGTCTGGTTCGTTTGTATGTTAACTTGATACATTTCAGGTTCTTCAAAACCAAATTTGTTTCTGCTATAAACAGTTAAATTATTCTTACTTATGTAAGATACATAAGACACAGTGAGATGAACATTACACATTTTTTCTTATTAAAACAAAATACAAAGGGTATACATGTCAATATACATAACTGTGTGAAACAATTTTTTCTGGAGTAATCTCCCCTGCATTAAGTAACAGGAAAAACTTTTTCAGAGAGGGGTGCACATGCAATTTCTTAACAACTGTATTTAACTGTTCAACTTTTCAATTTTTGCAATTTCATGTAAATACATGTACATTGTATTTGAATATCTGTTTTTAAAATAAAGCAGAACGAGCCCTTTGTATACCAATATTATTATCTTGCTCGTTTCTTTCACAATATGTATAAATGGACTAAAAAGATTTAATTTACAGCATTTTATTTGTACAAGTTAAACATCATTTTATTTAATATTTCAATATAAAATCTTCTAAATATAAATGTGCTGATAAAGCAAATACATTCAACATTTTATCTATAACACTTACGATATTTCATGCTCTAGTTAATACGAAATACCCGTATGTACTTTATCACAAGAGGAAGTTAATTTGTTAAACTTTATTTTCTGAAAATTGCGAGTGAACATTCTATTAAACTAACAATTTGAAGAAATATATAAGAAGTGTTTTAAGTTATATGTTTAACGGATAACTTTAATGTATATTATGCTCATAAAGCAGGACAATAAAGCAGGACAACAAATAGATTTGGAGATAAAGGTTATAAAATCGAAACAAGAATCAAGTTATAACATGAATTATTCTCATGTGTAAAGTTCGTCAGTATGGCGGTTTCTGGAAGAAAAGCAGTGGCACCAATCACAGGTTGGTTTGATAGTGATAAAAATCATTTTTGTGATCCGTGTAAAACTGATGGTCAAAATGTAAAAGCACGAGGATATTGTGAAGATTGCCAGGAATATTTATGCAGCTCGTGTTTTTCTTCTCATAAGAAAACAAAGGCCTCAAAACATCATAAATTACATGAACGATCCGATGCTACTAGTACATCTATATTAGATGATAAATGCCCATTTCATGACACCGAAATTGTCAAGTTTTTCTGTCCTAGACATGAAGAACTAGGATGTCATGATTGTATGGTTCTTAAGCATAGAACATGTGATCTTGATTATATCCCTGACACGTGTAAAGGTATAGGTGACAGAAAAGAGTACAGTGACACGTTAAAAATGCTAGAGTTAAAGCTACAAGCAGCAGAAAATATGGAAAGAGAAATTTCTGACAAAACAACGGAAACAGATGATAGTTTAACTCAAGCGCTTAAAGATATTGATGAATTTGAGTACCGAATCACCAATCGTATAAAAGAAATGAAAACTGAAGCTGTTAAAAATGCAAAACAAATAAATGAATCAAACAAAAGGGCATTAAAGACAGCGCATGAAGAATGCAGTAAAGTTTCCTCAGAAATGAAACAACTTCAAGCCAGTCTAAGAGACAACAAAACATCCGGGAAGGAAAGGGAAATATTCATAGCTGTAAAGAAAGCTAAATCTCTAGCCGATGATGAAAAGAACACTGAAGTTTTAACAGTACTAAGGAAACTTAAAACAACATGCACCTTCAAACGGAACGAAGAGATAGAAACTGCATTATTTAAGAACACTTTATTTGGGACATTGGAGACGACTCGTTCTGTAAGCTCCTTACAGCATTTAAGGGACATTAAAATAAAAACTTTATCAGATGTAAATAAATGCTCCATAGCAGGATGCTCATTTATTCCACCAGATAAAGTTTTACTTGCAGATGAAAATAACAACAAACTTAAACTGTTTGATATCAACAATGACCGTTTGATAAAAGAAAGACAGGAACCGGGAGGCCCATGTGGCGTTGGTCTTATGTCTCAAGATGAAGTAGCTGTTGCGATGAGAAAAATGAAAGCAGTTCAAATTTTCAAGACTTATGATGACCTATCCCTAGTTCGTACTGTCCAACTTGATAGAAAATGTTATAATGTCACATATAACCAAGGAAAGCTGTATGTTGTTTGTTGGGATCCAGAAAGTGTGTTAGTATTAGATCTTAATGGAACAGTGCAGACAGAAATTCCACTGAAAACATCTACCATTGACTTGACTGTTCCAGTTGGTATTGCTGTAAGTGCAGACTCTAAATATGTATATGTAAGTGACAGTTCTTTGTTAAAAGTAACATTGTACGCCTCACAACCAATGGAAATGTAGCAAGTATTTACAAAGACGAGAATATCCAATCACCTTCTGGGATAATCAGTCTGGAGGATGGATCACTTCTTGTCTGTTGCCGTAACAGCAATACAGTATACAGAATTTCTGAAGATCTCAAGACAGGATTTAATGTACTAGATAATATAGAATCACCGAGGAGTATATGTATAGATAATAAAGGTAATAAAATGTACATTGGTTGTTTAGGTGACACATTGAAAGTTTGTAAAGTGGTTTATCAGGAATAAGAAAGAAATGATTATGGTGATGATGATAACGTGATGATAACGTTGATGATGATGATAACAGTGTAATTGATGATCTAACGCTTGATAAACTATATTAACATTTTTGTTAGAAATAGATAAAGAAATGTTTAATATGAGGCTATGATAGTTAAAACAATATCAGTGGGAACAGATATTTTATATTGGGAAGTGGGGGTAAGCTAATTAATTATAGAAAAAGTCTAAAAGAAAGGAAAAAAAAACAAAAAAACTTAATATGCATATGTATATTAAATTAATGTCTATTTTAATGGTATGTGCACTTATTTTGTTGGCTGTTTTTGTTCTAAGTTTATTTCAATGATATCACGTAATCCTTACTGTTGATTAAGCTTTTCTCGTCATATTAAATACAAATTATAACATTAAAGTATCTTAGCTGATAAAATGAAACAAATTCCCACATTTTAGTTATTTTGATAAGCAGGTCTCATTAGATAGACTCAATGATACAACACATTCATTTACATCTCTTACGCACACGTGCATGCACTCGCACGCGCACACACGCAAGCACATTTGTATGGTATAATAACAGGGCAAGATTTTCTTTAACATGACTTGTATATAATACATTGTTAATAATTGCTGTGGCAATAAATTATATGTATTCCTTTTTTCAGAGTTGAGTTACAAATAATTATTTGTAAATGGGAGATAACTTACTTTAAATCATATTGAAATGTAATAGTTATTTACTTCCCTTTTGAATGACAGACTAACAATATTCTTTACAAAATACCTTTTGTTGAAAATCCTTTTAAATATTGACCATTTATTTTCATCGCTTATGTAAAAATGTAGCTAAAACTAGTTATAAAAAGGATAAGCATTTAATTTTATTAATGAATTAAAACAACCTACAACTATCTTGAACAATGTTTAGACTTGTATCAAACATTTTTGATTTTAACAATACATGTATATAAGTTTATAGTGAGTTAAAGATAAACATGTATTTGTGTTGTCTATTTCCTAACTTCAATTATAGTAATTTTGTTCATCTAGTTTAATTGTTCATGCTTTGTATTGAATATATATATTGAATGTGAATATTAGTATTCTGGAATACATTGATAGAAACATAACTATATTTATAGCAAATTCTATGCTTTGTGTTGTTTTATTTTCAATTTTATGCATTTATAAAATGTATAAATATCTACTTTCTAAAATGAAATTGGAATAATTCATTTTGATGCTATTTCTTGAACGATTCATATTTACGAGAACATAACCTTAACCCTAGGCCAAAGGCATCATTTTTACGATCATTTTTAATGATTTGACATTTCAATACCTTTTTCATGATTTCATAACAAAGTGAGCGTTTCTGTTAAATGACTTGTTAAAAAATATTGTAGCAATGAATTGTATGTATCCCTTTTTCTAAGTTGATAATAGATTTGTTAGTTACTTTTTTAAGTAAATGATTCTTTTTAAATGGGAGATTACTTACTTTTACTCCCCTTTTGAACGACGGATGTCAGATTTTTACAAGCAAAATTCTTTAAAACACGCCTTTTGTTGAAGAAATCCTTTTTATCATGAATCAAGTGTATCTTTAAAAAAAAAAAAATAATTTAAGTATCCACCATTTATTATTATTGTTTATGCAGATTGTAGCTAAAACTAGTTTAAAATAGAACTACGTATTTAATTTCAAATCAATAATGAATGAAAACAACTAATCAACTGTCTTGAACAATGTTTAGACTGGTGTCACACATTGTGTATTCTAAGAATACATGTATATAAGTTTTTAGTGAGTCAAAGATAAACATGTTTTTGTGTTATCTATTTCTTTACTTCAATAAATTTTATTCATATTGTTTATAGCAAGTTCTATGCTTTGTGTTGTGTTATTTTCAGTTTTATGCATTTGTAAAATATATATACATGTACATATACTATCTTAAATGAAACTGCAATGACTCTACGCCTGATATAGTAAAGAATAAGTAATTGCTTCATTAGCTCTTTTTTCACTATCAATTTTAATGATTTGACATTTCATTACCTTTATTTTCAATACGTATCTTAAATCTTTAATTCCAACAGCGAGAGCTGTGTCTTCAAATGTTTGTGTAAGTTCTGTAAAAATATACGTGAGAAAAGTTTAAGTGTATGTTAGTGCTTGTTAGCAATAATGAAATCTGTCTGGAGAGATGCAGTCCCGAAAATGAAATAACCCTGACTTAACAAAACACTGACCAACTCTAGATAGTGGTTTAGATCAGATGTGTGAAGTTACCGCCAATTTCACAAAAAAAGATAAAATAAAAAAAATTCTGAATGTGATTGTATCTTTTTAAATAACTCTTTTATTGACAAGATATGTTTTTAAAACTTAATGAAGAGTCATTTTAATTTCTTCCACAAACTTTACAACATTTAAAGTTTAGGCCTCTAGGTCTGTGGGTCACTAGGCCGTCAACTTCACGCCGCTAAGCCGTTACTTCACACATCTGTTTAAATTATGTTTTGTCTCGAAACACAACTTATTGAACAACGTAAGCATTACTTACTGGACAACGTAAGCACAACTTACTGGACAACGTAAGCACAATTTACTGGACAACGTAAGCACAACTTACTGAACAACATAAGCACAACTTATTGAACAACGTAAGCACAATCTACTGAACTACGTAAGTACAACTTACTGTACAACGTAGCACAACTTACTGTACAACGTAAACATAACTTACTGAACAACGTAAACACAACTTACTGAACAACATAAGCACAACTTACAGAACAACGTAAGCACAATCTACTGAACTACGTAAGTACAACTTACTGTACAACGTAGCACAACTTACTGTACAACGTAAACACAACTTACTGAACAACGTAAACACAACTTACTGGACAACGTATGCACAACGTATTGAACAACATAAGCACAACTTATTGAACAATGTAAGCACAACTTATTGAACAACGTAAGCACAACTTCTATGTTATTACATAGAGCAAACGATATACTGTGTTTGGCATTTAAAAAATCAAGTACCAGACAAGTTATTTAAACAATTCTTTATTGGGGTTTATTCAACAATATAAATATATAATACGCTTATAAAGATGACATGAATGGCGTCACTATACATGCAATGGTTGATTAAAGAATATTGCCGAGTGTTCGAACATGTCCGGTAATGTGTTACACCAAAGCCAGTGAGGAAACCTTCTTCATCGTGAGAACAACTTCTTTACTTGGACCTGGAGCTAAAACAAATATGAAATTTCGTTAAGCTGGCTTCAAACAATGTTCAATGCTTTTACACACAAAGGAAGCTTAAACTATAGAACATTTGTATCTAAGGTTATAACCTTTAGATTTTAAACGTTACCATATAAGAAGAAGTCAATGTATTAATCAAAACTAATTGGTTGGCATGAGGTAATGTTGGGGCGATTGATTTTTATGAGAGACAAGAAAGACTACAAGGAGCGTTTTAGTTCCTCAACCTACTCTACGCTATTGATAACGTTTTGTAAGTAATAGGCACTCAAACTAAAAGCGTTCTAGAAAAACAAACTAGAGAAATGGAGCACTAGAGTACACGGATTTTAATGACAATATAATTTCTAAGTATAGCTATGTACACATTTTACAATTCTGGAAAATGCATGTTGGTAATTTCTATTATATATCGGATGTCATAAAAAAGTTTGAATAATATACCCAGCAAGATATTTGATACGCCAGGATCTAACATCACCGTCGATCTTGTTTCCTCTATCATAAATGTCACCTCAATGTTGTCCCGATCGAAGTCGTCTGCAATAAAATGGTTTGTTAAATGTAAGTCACGTATTTTCTCTCACTGGCAAGAGCCTTGTCAACAAGGTATCTCATACGCGTTTATGACAATTTAAATAGCAAGTTTCCCATATATTGGACTGCTTTTTTCAATATGATATTGAGTCAGTTCAATTCTGTTTCGACTATTAGATTATATGATCTAAATATAGCTGCAATCTCATAGTCGCGTAGTTGTTGCACGCCTTACACGTGCGTCTTTTTCCCCGCGCTTCAACGAAACAGGCACAAGTTGTACATGTAAAAGGTCGTACGATCTGTGATTTTGAAATTCTTATAGCCTATTCATATACATGTAATAAAACAAATATTGAATAGTGTGCCATTGAATATGATGTGATATTCACCGGCAGAATGTCATATTGACCTCGGCTAGCCTATCGCATCGCTCAATATGTCATTCGCCCTTATACAATGGCATAGTAGTCAATAATTGTATAATATTTCAAGGACATCATGTATATGATTTATGTTCGGACTTTTGTTAAACTTCATGTTCATTCATAAATATAAGAAGATCTCAAGCCGATACTTTTAAGCGAACCTTGGTTACTATCATGAGGTTATTGTACAGCTCACAAAGTGATACAAACTCCTCACAATGATTACCTCCCTTGGCAGAATTTGTAATAATTGTACTGATTAGGGTAGATCAATGCGTAGGAGATCTGTACAAGGTAACTTACGACGACAGGCAGAGTTACTTCGAATATATTATATTGCTTCGAATATTATACATGTATGTATTTGATATGGGTTTTTTTGCCTATAGAAACGAAATGAAAACGAGGCTAGATGGGGCACAGTGTTGATTTTATAGCGAGCTCGACGAGCTGGCCCGAAGGGCCTGCTCGCAAAGCGAGCTTTACGGTAACGCGAGTACCTGCTAAGTGATGGTTTTGAAAACTTTCGTCCGAAGTACCGAATTGGACACATCGCAACTTTTCGAATTACAAGATAACGATAAAAGCCGATATACTCTGATTGAAAACGGAAGCGTAGACTGGTAGGACGCACTTATAAAGGAACCATTATAGAAAGGGGGAACCAGAATAAACGGAAGCAGTGTATAAAATACCGAATGACAGTTTTAAAACGGAAAATGTAAAATAAAAATGAACGATTATTTTAAACTATCTTACGGTAAAAGAAAATCGAGCTCGC